AGAGAGAGAGAGAGAGAGAGAGAGAGAGAGAGAGAGAGAGAGAGAGAGAGAGAGAGAGAGAGAGAGAGAGAGAGAGAGAGAGAGAGAGGGGCAAATAACAGAATAGAGGAATGGCAAACTTAACTGGGTTCTCAATACTCACCGGTGGAGCAGACTAATCTAGAATGATATGAGAGGTCAGTCAGTGTCCGTGTGTCTGTGTGTGAAGTGTAGGGCTCAGGTTACGCAATGTGATCAACAAATAAGCTTATGCACATCTAGAGGAAAGATGATACACTGCAATGAAGTGAGCAGAAGACTCAAAGACATGGTCTGACACATCAGTCTCAGACTCGACTCGCACGGACATCATCACACAAATCGAATCAGCAAGGAAGAGAGCATACATGGAAGAAAGACCCCCTCCTTGCCCACACACATGGGGAGAAAACCACGGATGATGGAGGTGGGGAGGAGACAAAGGAGGAGGGAGGGTAGAAGACAAGTAGTAGTCCCAAAATAATCTCCCCGGTTAAATGTCCAATAATCATCTCTCCCAGAATGTCGAATGAGATCCTGGGCACTCATAGGCCTGAAATTCCTTCCTTCCTCCCTCCCTTTGTGTATTGCTAATAAATGCATATGAACGAGCACCATTAAGAGAACATACAAAATATAAGCTGAAGATCTGAAGAAAAATGTACAGGAGTATACTCCTGTTTTACTCTGCCTCCGTTCGTAATGTGCAAGTGTGCCACTAAGGCACATGGGGATGTGGGCAGCTGGCGCTCAACCACAATCAACGAGGCCAGCCTTGGACGTGAGAGGCATAGTAAAAGGGGAGCTACAAGAACAAATAAAAGGGGTACCCCAAAAAAAAATGAAGTGAAGATACTTGAGAAAGGAATATAGTGGAACCATTGAGTGTGCAGGTGGTGGGGAGGGGGTACGGGCGCAGCGCGGCCGGGAGTGCTGCGCCCGGCTTGGTACCGGAATCGCGGGAGCGCAAAGCAGCACCGCGTGGCAAGGGAGAGCACGGAGTGGCACGTGAAGAGAGAAGGCGCGAAGTAGCATGATGCGGCAACGTGAAGGGCGAATATCGTGGAGATGGGGGTAGTGAAGCGGGTGGCAAAGGGGATGTGCGCAATGTTGGTGGGAGCAAGGAGAGGATGGGGATGAGCGAGGTGGGGTAGTGATGGTGGGCGAAGGGAGGGGAGTGGAAGGTGGACTTGGGATATTGGTGCAGAGGCTGGGTGTTTCCTGTTGTGGGGGGGGAGGAGATCGTCACTTTGCCCAAGTTGGAGTTCACGATGCTGCGAGCGTACGCGATGTTCCTTGTGGTATGTATGGCGATGATTTGGGTGATGTATCGGGTGGCTTTGGGTGGCTGCGCCTATAGGGAGGTCGCTTCGAGTTGCTAGCTATGGAGAGGTGGTGCGCAAGGATGGGAGGTGGCGGGAATGGAGTGGAAGGCTGAGCGTGATGTGAGTGGCCGTGGTTCTTCCCTCCAGTGGTTTGGGTGGGATGGCTTGTGCTTCGCTATTCCTTTCTCCCGATATGTCGGTGGCAGCTGCCTTGAAGGTTACTGGTTCTAAAAGGTTGATCTCGGGAGCGGTGGTCACGGAGAAGAATGAGTGGCACGTGATAATGAAGGGTTGAAGAGGTGTCTCCCCAGCATGGAATGTCTGTCTCTCCCCCAGACTACCGGTGAGGGGTGCCGGCAGGCTCGACAATTTGTCTTGCTACGTGGTAAGAGAGAGGTGATGTGAAGCCACGGTCCAACGGTCCTTATCGTTAAGCCTTACGATTCTATGGCCGAGAAATTGGCCATGAGACGGTTGAGTTGTCTTTGAGCCGATAAAGGAGGGGGTGAAGGTTTGGGGGGAGATAGATGCGGCATGATTGGAGGCTGGTATTGCACGCCCTGATGTTTTGTAAGACGCCGGATTGTCCTTCTTGGCTTGATGCTCAAGCGATCTCTGTTTCCCTTTGTGAATTCGCAGCTAGGTTAGATCGATGACTTTCAATAAATTCTCTCTAAATTTCATGTTTGGTGACTCGGAGATGATGAATTTGAATCTCATTGTGAATAGCTTGATTTCCCTATTTTGAATTTTCCAGTTCGAATTTCAGTTGTATTCTTGCTGACTTCTTAGTGTATTTTTCAATGGTTAGAAGTTAGAACTTGACCAAATCTTAAGCAGTACGTAATTTTTTCTTAAATTCCTAAGTAGCAGTCTGTTGTCGATACTTGTAAATTAGGATTTAATTTTGATCTTAAAAGCTGTCTGATCTGCTTCTTACTTCGATCTCAAATTCGATTGGTTTGACCCATACTTGCGGCGCCCTGATGCGGTGCGCTGAGCGGGGCGGTGCGCTGTGCGCTGGGCGCACATTTTGCAGCAAGCGCACTGTGCGTCGTGCGCTGTGCGCTCGGTGCGCCAAATGCAAATACGCCCTGCATTTATCTTGCACAGGGTGTGGCCTGCGTGTTGGTTTATCCTGCACAGGTCCCGCTCAGGCGCCATTCTTCCTGTGTTTTTTTTTTCCGTAATAGGAGCTATTCTTCCTGTTTTTTTTTTTTTTTTTTTTTTTTTTTTTTTTCCGTAATTGGAGGGGTTGAAGGGGGAATGTAACACTCGCCTGCATTCAGAGTGTGAAGACGCAGCAGTCATAGCATCCAATGCATCCATACAATCGAGCGGCGACATGGCACCACAAAAAAACACAGGAAACAATCTGTCATGCATTACACACAGCAAAGACAGGGACAGAACAGAAAAAATAACAAAAACTGATATGAAGTTATGAACTTATGAAGAGTTCGAAATTCACATTGCTCAGTCGGACAACAAAAAGAGAACAACGGGTGCACCACTGCACCCTAATCCACCTTTTCCCATTCTTCCTCCCCGCTCTCCTCCTGATCTGCCGCACCCTCACCTACTCCTTCGTCGTCACCCTCGTCCAGTCCCTCCCCCCCACTGGACTCAGATGACGAACTTGAGCTGGAAGGATGCTGAGCCTTCGGGCTCTTCGTCTCCCCGGATGTCTTCCGGGATATCATCATCGTCGTCATCATTTATGACGGCGGCTCTCTTCGTCTTGCCTGCGGCAGCATTCCTTGCACCGGCTCTCGCTGCTGCTTTGGCTTTGTCCGCAACGGCTTTGACAGCAGAAGCTTTCGCTGCAGCGACATCAGCTGCTGCCTTGGCAGCCTTCTCTACGGCCTTTCGTGCTCGGCGTTCTGCCTGTTCCGCCAATGTCAGGCAGCCTCTCTTTGGTCGCGGTTGTTCTAGCTCAAGAGCCTTCATTTTGCCTCGCTGCACGGGTGCGTTGCCATCATCCTTCTCTTTGCCCTTGTTTTTGCGCCTACTTCGTGGTCCCTCCGCCCAGCCCTCCACTCATGTGCCCGCTTGTCGAGCTGCCATCGCAAGAGCGTAGCCCTCCTCCGTGTACAACTCCAGAGGCACGGGCAGCTCGCTGCCTGATCTCCTACGCAACTCTCGCTCGCGATATTTCCCTGGCTTCATGCACTCGTGCCAATCACGCTGCCGCGTACCGACGAGAGCAGAGTCCTCGTCACACAGCCTCTCGTCAACCTCATTGTTGCATTGGAAGGTGCACTGCAGTGGAAACTCGCCTTCCTCATCATCAATCCACCACGGCGACCTCTTCCTCGTCCACGTCTCCATGGACACGCTTCAACCAATCTGCGTACCACTCCTCCATCTCCTTTTCCACCGGGACGTCATCCACCCATGGGATGTGGATATCATCCCCCCCGCCGCGCTGGTTACTCCTCAGAAGGCGGACATTCCAGCTATTGTACACAAGTTTGGCCATCCTCTCCGGCATGAGCTTCGTGCGCATCCTACCGTAGATGAGCTCATGCAAGCTCCAGTTCCGTTCGCAAGCAGCTGAAGAGCTTGCCTGGCCAAGCAATGTGATGGCCTGCGGTGCGAGGAGGTCGTGTTTGGAGCCGAATGCCTCCCACCACAAAGCTGGTGGCTGTTGGCTGGCCTGGTGTCGCGCTTGCTCCGTGGAGAACCCTTCCAAACCATTCACCCACTGGTCAACCTGGAAGCTCACTTCCTTCAGCTTATCTCGTGTCATCCAGGAGTACAACCAGATGTTGAACCCTGCACGGACCTCCAGATCGCGTTGCGCATTGTGCATTCGGTGCTCAGGATCCAGGAAGGCTGCAGCACAATGCAGCTCGCTGGTCATGAATGACCAGCGGTCCATGAGGATGCGCTCCACTGCCTCGTGCTCCTCACTTGAAAGGCAATCGAGGGCACGCATGTGCTGAACAACCAGATCCATTTTGAAGTACACCTTCGAAATGGTCGGTCCTTGACCATCCACCAGCCGAAGCAGCTCCACCACAGGCTCCATCACATCGAGCGCCTTGTTGAGGTTGCTCCAGAACTCGCCCTTGTCGAGAATGATAGCCGTCACCTCGTGGAATGCCACCAACTGGTCTGCTCGTACCATCTTGTCCACCCATCCCGCATCGCAGATACATCGGTCCAGTGCGTTCTTGAGGTCCTTCAAAGACCCAAGCATCTCGAAGTTGGTGGCAAATCTGGCTGCCGCCGGGGGCTTCAACTTCGTTTTCGGTGAGTAGTTGTTGAACATAGCCCTCGCCTTGTCCACATTCGTGAAGAACTTGCCGACCCTGTTCCCAGCATCAACCACCTCCGCCATCCAAGCCATATCCTTGTACATGTCCTCCAGCGCAAGGTCGAGTGCATGCGCAGTACATCCGACGCGAAAGATGTTAGGATAGCCGGCCTCCACCATCTTCCCTGCCTTGATGCACACCCTTGCATTGTCCATGACGACGCTGGCGACTGTATCCGATCCGATCTCATTGATGACCCCATCCAAGACATGAAAGTAAGCTTCGGCGTCCTTGTCCTTCCCCTCCATGCACACAGACTTCCAGAAGACCGTTCCGACAGGCGAGGACACCATGACATTTAGATGGGGCTTGTTTCGGCGGTCGGACCACCCGTCCATCTGCAGCATACACCCAGTCTTCTTCCACTTCTGGATCAGGGAACGCACCTCCGCCCCTACTCACGCATAGTCGGCATCCAAGCGTTTTTGTCCTTTGTTCATCCCTTTTGCACGACATCCACGTCGGATGGGCCTTCTTCACCGTGTCCATGAACTCCAGGAAGTATTCATCCTCCACCAAATTGAACGCCTAGTTCGTGCAGGTAAGAAACCTGTCGAGAAACCGACTCGTCCGCTCATTGTGCGTGATGACACTGTCAGCCTCCTCGATCAATGTCTGCCGCAAAGGTCCCTTGGGAACTGCCTTGGAAGACTTCGATCCAAGACCCAGTGATGCCTGCTGCACCCGCCTCTGAGCTAGGAAACTCAGGGACCTCAGCGGCGGCGGTCCGTGAATTGTTGGGGTCGTACCCTCCGGCCTCTCCGTACATCAACACACGAGCAAGCCACTTGCCTTGCCTTATCCCCTCTTCCCTCCTCGCCCTCTCCTCCACTGACATTTATGTCGTGCAATAGTCAAGGCTGCACTTGTCGAGGAAGTGATCCCTGAGCTTCGTCGCAGTCACGGTAAACGATGCTCACAGTACTTGCACTTCCAGTGCTTTGATCTCTTGAATGCAAACTTCCTCGTGGCGCCCTCTACGATGAAGTGCAGCTTAATCCGCTATGAAGTGCAGCTTAATCTGTTATGTAAGATGCTTGGCTGACATCTTTCCCTGGGTGACACGATCAACACACCGCAAACTGGGATCTCAGCCCCTATTAAGACAACGAGAAACTTCTCGAAAATAAATATAGAACGACAAGTTCGACCACTTTCAAAATATAAATCCAAAGACACGTGAGCGAAGGTGAATGGAGTAAAAGGAAGAAGAAGAAGAAGAGGGGGAGTAGGAGAGGGAGAGGAGGAAGAAGAGAGGTGGAGGAGAAGGAAGAAGAAGACCAGGAGGAGGAGGAGGAGGAGGAGGATACGGCAGACGAGGAGGAGGAGGAGGAGGCGGAGGAGGAGGAGGAGGAGGAAGAGGTAGAAGAGGAGGAGGAAGAAGAAGAAGAGGAGGAGGAGGAGGAGGGGGAGGAAGAGGATGAGGAGGAGACAAACGAGAAAGATATGGCGGAGGAGGAAGATAAGGAAGAATTTAAGAAGATGTGGAGGGCGAGGAGGCGTAGAAGTAGCCGCACCGGCAAAAAAGAAAGAAGAACAAGAGGAGGGGGAGGAGGAGGGGGAGGAAGAGGACGAGGAGGAGACAGACGAGAAAGATATGGCGGAGGAGGAAGATATGGAAGAAGATGCGGAGGGCGAGGAGGAGTAGAAGTAGCCGCACCAGCCAAAAAAAAAAAAAAAACACGTGCCGCGTGGCACGTCAACGTTAAAGTATGATGATGATGATGATGATGAGGAGGAGGAGGAGGAGGAGGAGGAGAACTGCACGAGCAAAAAGAAAAAAAGAAAAAAAAACAGTGTGCCTCGTCGCACGTTAACGTTAGAGGAGGAGGAGGAGGAGAAGGAGGAGGAGGAGGAAGAAGAAGAGGAGGAGGGGGAGGAAGAGGAGGAGGAGGAGGACAAAGGTAGGGCGGAGGAGGAGGACATGGCAGAAGATGTGGAGGGCGAGGAGGAGGAGTAGGATAAACTTCCGATAAAGGTGTGGCGGAGGAGGAGGAGGAGGAGGAGGAGGAGGAGGAGGGAGATATGGAGGAAGCAAATGAGGAGGAAGAGGAGGAGGAGAAGGAAGAAGAGGAGGACGAGGAGGAGGAGGASGAGGAGGAGGAGGAGGGAGATATGGAGGAAGCAGATGAGGAGGAAGAGGAGGAGAAGGAAGAGGAGGAGGAGGAGGAGGAGGAGGAGGAGAAGTAGCTGCTTAGGCAAAAACAAAAAATAAAAGTGCCACGTGGCATGTTCACGTTAGAGGAGGAGGAGGAAGGAAGAGGAGGAGGAGGAGGACGATGACGACGGGGACGAGGACGATATGAGGAGAGAAGTGGAGGATGAGGAGGATATGGAGGGAGAGAGAGAGAGAGAGAGAGAGANAGGAGGAGGAGGAGGACGATGACGACGGGGACGAGGACGATATGAGGAGAGAAGTGGAGGATGAGGAGGATATGGAGAGAGAGAGAGAGAGAGAGAGAGAGAGAGAGAGAGAGAGAGAGAGAGAGAGAGAGAGAGAGAGAGAGAGAGAGAGAGAGAGAGAGCTGGTGGTACCCACCGCCATGGTTACCCGCTGCTCTCCTGCCGCTGCCTCCTGCCGCGACCACCCGCCGCTGACTGCTGCCGCTGCCGCTGCCGCTGCCTCAGAAGGCCGTCTCCTCCCGCTGCCTCCTGCCCTAGCTTTCTCGCCCTCCCTCCTCTTTCCTCCGTCTTCCCTCCTTGTCGCCGTCCTCCCTGGTCCGTCCTTCCTCCTTTGTCGACCCTAGTCTTCCTTCCAATGACGTCCCTCCTCTGTCCTTCGTTGTCCTCGTCGTCGTTCGTCGTCGTCTCCCCTCATCATTGTCGTCCCTTCTTCCCTTGTCGTCGCCCTCCCTTCTTCCCAGAAGAAGTGGCCCTCCTCCCTCCTTCGTCGCCCTTGTCGTCGTTCGTCGTCGTCCCAGTCGTCCATCCACCGGCAGGCCCCCAATCTGCACACGAACATGGCCGCGTCAAGTGTGAAACCGGCCCAGCCCCTGCCCCAGTATTTTTTTGGGGGGAAGGCCTGCAAAATTCGAATTCAATTTCTGGAGACATTTCCCCCCCAAAAAGAAGTTTCGGGCCAGGGCGGGGCCGGTTTTGCACTTGACGCAGCCTCCTTTTCATTTTTGCCTGGCAGGGGGGGCACGGAACTCTGCGACCCCATTTTTTTGGGGGGTGGGGAGGGAGGCCCTAATTAATCCAGTGCGCTGCATCGGGTGCGACGCGCCGTGCGGGGCGTGATGTGCGTGAAGCCGCGCACCTTGATGCGCCGCAAGTATGGTTTGACCGTCTAATCAGTTTTCAGTCTAGAATATTCTCAGGCATTTTCTGAACTTTGGGGTTTGAAAATCAGAGTTGTGAGTCCATTCGGATATCAAAAATGGATTTCCTATTCGTTTTTTTTCAAAAACTTACTAGTCTATTTTGATGCTTTGTGCTTCTGAAGTTCTGATGCTATAATCTGCGATCTTAAATAGGGGAATCTTAGCTTCAGGTTTTCTGAATGTTTTTGTCAGTGTTCATCCGAAATTCGTGTTTTCTTAGTTTGAATCTGCATAACTTCGAAGAATGTGAGTTTAAGTGCGAGTCTGAAGAATGGCCAATTTTCTGGATTATTCTCCTCTCACGTGTTATCTGTGTTGAGGGCAGGCGGGTGAGGGTTTCTGATCAGTTTTGGGGTGTTTGATACGGACGGCGAGTTTTATTTGGTGGATTACTTTTGTTTTTTCCTGCGAACAATGTGGTGGAGGAGGTCAGCTCGTTGCAAGGACAAGACGAGTGGTAGTCTGTGGTTACACGCTGTGGGGTCCCGCGAGACCATTTGTTTATTGCCATGGCTACGCCGGACCCGGACCCGGACTGCTCGTGTCCGGGGACCGGACGCGTGTCCGGTCGGGTCCGGACGTCCGGACTTCCGGACACATCCAAACCTCCGGACATGCATGGTTTCGGACAGTCCGGACCGGTAAGCAGGTCCGGAAATATTCGGACCATTAAAAAAATTAAAATAAAAAATATCTGAAAAAAAGTTTGTTATGAAGAATAACAATGCAAACCACTTTTCCTCAGAGTCATGTCAGAATTCCTAACCAAACTTGAGTTAAAAGTAAAAAACTATAAAAAACTTAAAAAAAGACTATAAAAACGAATAAAAAGTAATGAATTATGAATAATTAAAAAATTGGGGGTGTCTAATAAATTATTATAGAGAGAGAGTCCGGACCCCAAAAAGCATAAATGGGCCTGAAAAAACCCCAAAACAAATTTGGTGGCTTGGCTCCTCGGTGGGGAAGGGTTCTGGACCCTTCTTTTTTTTTCCCTCGAAATTTGGCAGATCCCGGACCTTCCAGACCGGACGTCTGGAGTCCGGACTGAATCCAGACGGTCTGGACGGCGGTCCGGACGTCCGGATCGTATCGTAGCCGAGGTTATTGCTCTCCATCTTGCGAACTATGTGGTGGAGGAGGTCGGCTCGTCGCGAGATGAAGTTGAGTCAGAGGGTTTGCAGGTAAGTGTGTGGGGAGACTTCTGGAGGTACTGATTAGTTGTCACTTTCGTCGTCTGCGGAAGATGGGTGGTACCTGGCTTGGAGGGGGATATTTAAGGATTGGTAAAATTGCGTCCTGTTGGCGAGGAGGGCTAGCTGGAGGGATAGGATTAGGGCATAGCGCCAGCTGAGATCGTGGCTTAGCTGTGTGAGTCTTTGTCGGAAGGAGGCAAGGTGATGATTGGTTTGGGTGCTGTGCCGACTTCGCGATTGGGTGGACTACTTCTATTCTTCTTCTTCAAACTATGCGGTGGAGGAGGTCAGCTCGTCAAAAAAAAATGAAGAGTCCAAGTCTGCTTTTATC